GGCTCAAATATGGTTAATACACAGGTTTATAAACCAATGGTGAAGGAGATTTATACCTTAAATTCTAATATTTGAAAAGGTGAAATGAATGCAAGTGTTAGATTTCTCTTGGCCTTTATTTTTAAAAAAGTAAAAACCTTGTATTTTTCATACAATGTCAGCAGGCAAAACTATGCCCCCAAAAAACATTTTAAGCATACTTATGAGAGGATATACAAATTCAAATGTTTCTTAACCATATGTGTGTGTGTGTGTGTGTGTGTGTGTGTGTGTGTATACTTTCACAGAAATTAGATGGGAAGATTAGTAAGAAAACAAAGTGAGGGCCCTGGTCGGTGTGGCTTAGTTGGTTGAACGTCATCCTGTGCACCAAAAGATCACCAGTTTAATTATTACTGGTCAGGGCGCATACCCAGTTTGTGGGTTCAGTCCGATGGGAGGAAAATCTCTAAAATCAATTTAAAAAAAAATTTTTAAAAAGAAAACAAAGTGAAGAAATTTAGTATAGTTCATCAAGTATATACCACTTTTTTATGCTAATAACACAAAGGAGAAAATGGTTTACAAATCACTTTGCATTAGTTTTTATTTTATTTTTTTAAGATTTTAAAAATTGATTTTAAACAAGAGAGGAAGTGGGAGAGAGAGAAACGACCATTGGTTGCCTCCTGCATGCCCCAACTGGGGATCAAGCCCAAAACCTGGGCATGTGCCTTATGGGGAATCAGACCAGCAACCTTTTGATGCCTAGAATAACGCCCAACCAACTGAACCACACTGGCCAGGGTAAGATCACTGTGCATTTAAATAACAATCATTGCTTCCTCAGTTTGACTTTGGGCAAAAAGTACTCAGTAATCAAATGTTTATCCCTAAGGACAGGGGATCATCTATTCAAATGTGAGACCCCACTATGAAACACTACCTCCCCTTTAGGAGTCCCCTCCATGTTTTTATAGAAATCTCTATCTGTAATTTAGGAAACCCAATAGTCCTTGTTACACTGATACATTGAGTTGCTATACTAAGTGATGACATACCTTTCACCTAAGGATCTCAAAATACTTTCAAGAAATGCTCTGAAAATCCTGTGGGGAAATCAACCAAAGAACGGAATCTATTCCAGATTTATATGTTGTAGGCTAGCAATTAGTCACATACCTACCTTGTCATAATAGTCTGCCTGTCTGGGCGCACATCCAATAAAATCTTCATTATCTGTGGTTCAAATCCCATATCCAGCATCTTGTCAGCCTCGTCTAATACCTGCATTAAAAATGTGGCTCGATTAGATATGAGAGGTAGCTAGTATGTATGCTCTCTATGAATAGAATACTGAGATAATTTTTTCTCATTTTCCCTATTACTTAAACCACTATTTTAACTTCTCCAGGAGAATATAAGACAGTGATGGCGAACCTATGAAACGCGTGTCAAAGGTGACACGTGAACTCATTCTTTTGATTTTTCTTTGTTAAATGGCATTTAAATATATAAATATCAAAAATATAAATCTTTGTTTTACTATGGTTGCAAATATCAAAAAATTTCTATATGTGACACGGCACCAGAGGTAAGTTAGGGTTTTTCAAAATGCTGACACGCCAAGCTCAAAAGGTTCGCCATCACTTATATAAGAGGTCTGTGTTTCCAACATAAATTGATTTGATTATTTATAAGTTGGCTAAGTTTCTAAATCTATTTAATGAAAAAATTGTATCTAAATATCCATGTGGATTTTTATTTTCTTTTGTACTTATCTACATTTTTCAACATTTATTAAAAAAAGCATTAAAATAAAATTATCTTAAAACCCTTACTTTAACATAGTAGAGGAAATGAGAAATGTTCCTATGATTTAAAACTATTATAGCCCTAGCCAGTTTAGCTCAGTGGATACAGCATCAGCCTGTGGACTGGAGAGTCCCGCGTTTGATTCTGGTCAAGGGCACGTGCCCGGGTTTTGGGCTTGATTCCCAGTTGGGGGCATGCGGGAGAGCCAATCAGTAATTCCCTCTCATCACTGATGTTTCTCTCTCTCTCTCCCTTCCTCTGTGAAATCAATAAAAATATATTTTAAAAAATAAAACCATTATAAAATGAACAGTCATTTGAAGAGTATTTTAATAAGAGTTCAGCTCTTCCATTATTCCAGAGCCTTGCTCCATGATTACCAAGTAGGTTATGCTTTTCAGGTTGACAAAGTTATTCATTTGTAGGTCATTCAATCTTCCAGGAGTTGCAATGACGATATCTACACCTTTTGTCAGGTCTTGTATTTGTCCATTTCTATCTCCACCACCATATATACAAACACTTAAAAAAAAAATAGAGGTTCACGTTCAGATGCCTTTGGAATTACATGCCCCTTTCTGAGAACTATCAACACCCATCAACCCATGCTGGTGTGTCATAAAGAGCCATCTTTACATCACTGTTATTGATTGGTTATAATTATATTGTCAGGGGTAATACCTGACCCACGCCAAGCCAATCAGATTCTTGAAATGTGTGAAAAATAATAGGAAAATGTATAAAGCTACAAATGATCAAGATGCTGATGCAGGTGCAGACAAAGAAATGACTTACTTTTTAAGACCTTTGTATGAATACTTAGAACATTCAGCTTGCACTTGAAGAGCTAATTCCCGAGTGGGTGTAAGGACTAACATGCCAGGGCCATTCCTTTTCTCTCTAGCTCTTCGGAGAGAAAAACAGACTATTAAAGTACCTGTCTCAGATACATGGTACATTGATTCAGTGCTTTTAAAATTTGTAGCAATGAGTGTCAAAGTCACATACATTCATCATAAAAGGGGGAGAAATATAGAAAGACAGTCAAACAAAAAAAATCCAAGGGCCCAAATAGAAGCCTTTTCATTGAATACGGCCAATGCTTTCCTATGTCAAACATTCTCTCACACAATTGTACTGAACATGATAATTTAAATAAATTGTTTCTCATGTTTCACTGTTAAGACCTTTGGTAGGTGCTATCTATTGCTTCACCAAAATGTTTTGTCTATTCATACTTTCACCAGCACAGTGAAAGTGTATTTCCCTGGGACTAGGCATTACGTTTTGACTGATACAATATGTCAAAGAAACTTTAAGTGAATTTTTGGTATCCATGTCCATTAAACCCCTAGAGAACCCAGCTGTAGAAATTCTTACACTGGTTGAGAGTCAAGGTGAATAAATCCAGGCATTAAGTAAGACAGTGTCTTCCCTGTTCCAGTTTGGGCTACTCCTATAAGATCTATTCCTTGTAGAACTATTGGCCATGCCTGCGACTGAAATAGAATGATAAATAGTGAAATCAAAAGTGCATTTCTTTGTGTCAAGTGTCCCTCCTATTCCAGTCCCAAACTGGTGATTTAACTTCTAACAGATAATGTTGGGGAGGGGGGGGCTGGAAATGGCCAGTGAAATATTAGAATTAAAGAATTATTCAGCATACCTGAATTGGTGTTGGTTTTTGAAAACCTGCCTTTTTAATGTTTTCCATAACTTCAGGATAACATTCAAAGGCATCCTCAAATTTACAAGTAGGATTGGGGATAGGACGTTTCTCACCATCTTTCAAGTCATCACACACTATATTATAATTTTCCTTCCTTTAAGGGAAAAAACAACAACAACACAGAACAAATATTATTGGTTTTGGTCACTTTACTCCCAAAGCAAGAAATTTTCCAGCATTAGTTCAGGTCATATCTAGAAATTCAATTGCAACTGATTAAAACCAGACTGTTAGTACAGTTACAGTAAATAAGCACATCTTTTTTCTTATCAGAATAGTTGCAGAAAGAAGGGAAAAAATTACATTGTATATGTGAATGGGCCAATAAAAGTTTCATGGAAAAGTTAAGAATAGAGCCTGAGCCTGAAGTGTGTGTGTGTGTGTGTGTGTGTGGCTGGGGGTGGGGTGGGGGGGGGAGAAAGCCAAGATATTAACGGGTCAATGGGAGAAAAACGGGACATATGTAATACTTTCAACAATAAAGATTTAAAAAAAGAATAGAGCCTGAAAATTATATGCTTCATGATTCAAAATTAGATTGGCAAACACTTGAGGACCAACATGTTACACACATATTTCCTTTTTCTAAAATTTTTTTTAAAAATTTTCTTAGGAAGGGAGAGGAGAGGGAGAGAAAGAGAAACTTCGGTGTGAGAAACATTGACTGGTTGCCTCCATCACACATCCCGACTGGGGATCCAAGCTGCAACCTTGGTATGTGCCCTGACCAGAATGGAACTGGTGACCTTTTGGTGCACAGGGGGACCCTCAGTCAACTAAGCCACACCAGCCAGGGCTTTATTTCTTTAAACCTCAACAATCCTGTGAAGTGGGAATTATTCCCATTTGGCAAGTGAGTATTAGTTACTTGTCCAAGGTCTGAACCCCATCCCAAACTCTAGAATAACTATTGTTTCTGCTATACTATCTTAATTTTCTAACAGGCGTTAATAGAAAAAAAAAATGTTGCCAATAGGACCTTTAATTCCAGACAATAAGGATTGAAGAGTAAAAAATTATTCTAGTATTCAGATACCAGATCAATTTCTTATGATTTTCAGTTGCAGAAATAATTCTCTAAAACTTCTATTCAATACAGCAGGCATCAACCACATGTGCCTTTTTAAATTAAAAAATTTCAAGTAAGCTGTGGTGGATGTTTCTCAGTGGGTAGAGCCCTAGCACTCAAGGGTTGTGGGTTTGATTCCTAGTTAACGTCATTAACCTGGGTTGCACATTCCATCCCTGACCCCGGTAGGGTTGGGTGTGCAGAAAGCAGCCAATCTATGTGTCTCGCTTTCTCCCCCTACCCCCTTCCACTCTCTCTAGAAATCAATGGGAAAAATACCCTTGGGTGAGGATTAACAAAAAAAGACAAAATAATAAAATAATAAATAAATAATTTGTTAAAATTTCAGTTCCTCAATTATAATAGCCACACACACACATACATATATATACACATACACACACGCATATGTGTGTGTGTGTGTGTGTGTGTGTGTATATATATATATATTTATTGATTTCAGAGGTGAAGGAAGAAAGAAAGAAACATCAATGATGCCTCACACTGGGGATGGAGCCTGCAACCTGGGCATGTGCCCTGACCGGGAATCAAATCATGACCTCGGGAATCAAACCATGACCTCCTGGACCAGGAGATCATGGTTTGATTCCCGGTCAGGGCACATGCCCAGGTTGCAGGCTCCATCCTGCAGGTAGCCATATATTAAGTGTTCCATACCTATATATAAATAGTGACTATTCTAGCAGACACAAATATAGCCCATTTTCCATCTTTGCAGAAAGTTTTATTACATAGCAATGCTCTAAAATATGTCAATAGGTTACCAAGTTTTCATTTTTATATGAAAGGTATAGACTTCAAATGCTAACATTTCAAATCTTTGCCCAAATTAATTTAATAACATAACTATTCAAATGCTCATTTGGAAAAGTAACCCACCTCCAAATGTCTATTTGCCCTTGTGACATTGACCTTGTTGTTTCTGACTCCATGTAAAAGTTTTTCTTAATTGGAGGTAAATCTGAGACAAAGGTGAAAATTCAGTTTGATAAATAATGACAATTTACATTTCATTGACACTTAAAGTAACACAAATCAACCAAAATACGTATCAAGTTCATCCATACAGTTTTAGACAATTGTTCCACACTTTGTCAGCCAGGCTTATGCCAGAATTTTTGTTTGTCTTTTAATTACATTTTTCACACAAGAAAGAGGTCTTTAAATTATAAAATTAAATATAAAAGAAACCATGCTTTGCAAGATCACAATGATCACAGTTGATGAATCTTCTCTCATATATAATAAACTGATTTTATCTTTTCTTTGAAGGTCTCTCCTATATTTAGAAATAAAATATTTGTCCTTATTCTACCCTCAGAAGCTACTCATCTTTAAGTGCCTTTATATCTCCTCCAAACTTAAATCCTTTTTCTGGTCACCCATCCCAAATCCCCCCAACTCATATATTGTTGGGGTGGCACTGGAAACTTAATATGCAGAAAGGTTGACTGCCATTGTGGAATTAATCATCATTAATATTTGTCATATTTAGTGCATTAACTTTTTAATTTTAAATAAATATATTGCTGCCTCATTCTGATAGACAAATTTAGTGCTCAAATTTACTCTGAAATTTGGTTATGGAACATTTCACTCCATATATAATTCCAAGTAAGAATTTCATTTAAAATTAAACAAATTTTAAAAACTCGTATCTTCTCAAGAACTGTACGCTTATTCAATGTTTTTCCCTTGTTATTTTGTCCTCGTCAGTCAGGATACTCTAAGATCAACTTTTGCTCAATCACAGCAATAATGTTAACAACTCATGGTCAGCATGTCTATTCCCTTCATTTCCCTTGGGCCTGATTTTCTATTTTATTAAACTTTTGCAATAAGTTACCTCAAATAAGACAAAGAGTGGGTAAGTTTAATATTTTAATTTCCTACTTATAGCATAAATCACAACACAGATCACATAGAAAGTACCATGTCCTAGGAAATAATTACAGCATTGCAAATTTGACTATCATTTTTCATAGAGACCTTATTACTTAAACCTACACATTTTACAGAGGATAAAAACCTCAATTAAGAGAAACATCAACACCACATGTAAGTGTTAGAATACAACACTTGCCTGGCTCAGTGGTTGAGCATCAACCCATGAACCAGGAGGTCACAGTTCAATTCCTGCCTGGACAGGACACATGCCCGGGTTGTAGGCCTGATCCCCAGTAGGGGGCATGCAGGAGGCAGCTGATTGATGATTCTCATCGTTGATTTTTCTTTCTTTTTTTAAAAATATATTTTATTGATTTTTTACAGAGAGAAAGGGAGAGAGATAGAGAGTTAGAAACATCGATGAGAGAGAAACATTGATCAGCTGCCTCCTGCACATCTCCTACCGGAGAAGTGCGCGCAACCCAGGTACATGCCCTTGACCGGAATCGAACCTGGGACCCTTCAGTCCGCAGGCCAACGCTCTATCCACTGAGCCAAACCGGTTTCGGCTCATCGTTGATTTTTCTATCTCTCTCTCCCTCTCCCTTCCTCTTGGACATCAATAAAAACATATTATAAAAAAAAAAAAGAATACAGCACCAACCTGCCCACTTTTTTTCCTCCCATTTCAAAGCATCTTCTCGAATTTGGTCCCAATCAAGTAGTGGCTGATCTTCTGTAACAACACTGTCATCTGTCCTTACATCTCTTCGAAAAGAAGGTTGGAATGCAACAATATCTGTTAAAATATTTTTACCGAATTAGTTTCAAAACAAATCCTACCAGTACAAAATCCTCAAAACCATTTTACTGCTTTGTGTTTTAATAACCTGACAATAATGCTTGCAATATAAAAATCTAGGATTTTAATGCTATAGTACCATGACAATTCTGGTCATGGTTTTTGTCATCAGTTATCTACTTCAGATTTATGAAATGTTTTGAAATGTAACTTATTGGAGAAGTTAAATAACATGAGAGCCTAGTGTCTACTAATAAATCACACATATCACTTAATTTTTATTGTAATACTGTGAGTTGAGTTTACTCCAGGTTAACAGATGAAGAAATGGAGTCTTAGCCCTGGCCAGTGTAGCTCAGTTGGTTGAGTGTTGTCCCGTGCACTGAAAGGTGGCTGGTTCTCAATTCCTGGTCAGAGCACATGTCCATGTTGCTGTTTCTCTAGCCCAATCAGATCTGAGATTTTTAAAATACCAAATTTATTAGGCAGTTTTCAAAGTCAGTCACGTCCCAGGGAAGTGACCATAGAGACAAGAGGCCAGGACTAATATTGCTCTATCATTAATAGAAGTATGTTTAAAAGGCTAGTTTGTTTTTTCCCAGTCATCTGTAGCTAAAAGTAGAACTGCTAGGCTTCACCAAGGAGGTTATGTGTTTTCATTTGAGGAAAATGTATCCTGGAATTCCACAGAAAAAAAATTCTATAACAGACTAGATTTAATGATGGCAACCTAAAGCTTTATTATCAGGAAAAGCATCAGCTATAACATGGCTTATAATACTGAATGAAATTTTAAAAAAATTTTACAGGGCTTTAGTGGGCAAAAATCACTTACCGACTCTGGGTTGTGAATTGTAATTTTGTTGTTTTTTAACAAGATTATCTATCACTGCTTTTGCTTTTGTCTGCATTGCTTTGCTACCAAAAATTTTGATTTCTGCTTCAGGGCACCCTTTTATTACCTAGATTCAAGGGAAAAAATTGGTATGATTGAAGTCCCCTTGCCACTCACCCCTCCAACAATCACTCAAATAATATAAAAGTGTAAGTAAGTATAGTACTGCTATCAGTGTCTGAGGTATTATGAAAGGCTTTTATGCAGAAAAGGTCATGAACACACAATTTGCATTTTAGAAAGATTGGTCTGGCCACAGTGGAGAATGGTTAGAGGAGGACCACTGGAAGCAGGATGCTTCATTTAGGGAAGAATGTCCCAAATGATGGGATTTCCCTTGAGAAATACAGGAAATAGAAAGGACTTAACAATGATGGGCTGGTTGTAGATTAATGAGAAGTTAGTAATCTGAGGTTCCTGGCTTGGGAACTTGGTGAGTGATGTGGCTGCCCAATGACTGGGAAACAGAACAGCTCAAGGTTTGAGGAATGGGGGTCAGGAAGGGCGTATCAGATAGTCCCCAGAGATCTCATTCTTCAGTGACGCTTCTCTCTAAAGATTTTTACCTCCACCCTGGCCGGTATGGCTCGCTTGGGCATCATCCCATGCACCAAAACGTTGCGGGTTTGATTCCTGGTTAGGGCACATGCCTGGGTTTCAGGCTCCATCCCTGGTAGAGGGCGTGCAGGGAGCAGCCAATTGACGTTTCACTCACATCAATGTTTTGCTCACATAGATGTTTCTCTCTGTCTCCCTCTCCCCCGCCCCCCGTCTAAATATCAATAAAAGATTTTATTTTTTTAAAAGATGTTTACCTCCATGAGTCAAAAAACTGAGACCTGGAATGGCCCATAGCTTAGGTGAGTTCTTGAAAAGAATGGTAGTATAAAGAGCTTTGGCAGCTTATCTAAGTTACCACGGTATGTTAATAACTGAACAGAAACGAGAGTTATGAATAAACTATGCATTTTGGGATTTAAGAACACAGATCACGTACCTGTATTTTAGTGTTTGTTGCACTTTGGATGTCTTTTATTTTTGACCCACCACGACCTGTTTTTAAAAAATAAAGGAAAATAATTTTTTTTAGCCAAGTTGAAATCAGTAAGAGGGATATACCTACTTTCCTCAAAGAACCTTCTCTAGTTCTTGCCCAGATCATTCAAACAAAGGCTCCTGGGGTCCAATAACCATTTTCAGTTTGGAAAAAGGAAAGCAAGCATTTTCTATTCCAAATTTTGGTGAGTGGAAAAGGCTCATTTTCTAGACATAGATACTAAGGATTCATTAGCAGTCCCAACAAACTAATTAGATCCAAGGATGTGGAGAAATTAGAACCCTTACACACACCAACTCAACAACAAAAAAAATCCAATTAAAAAATGGTGAAAGGTCTTGAATATATATTTCTCTAAAGAAGACATACAAATATCCAACAGTCATATGTGATAAGATGCTGAAATCATTAGGGAAATGTAAATTGAAAATCACAATGAGAAATTACCTTATAAGTGTTACAAGGGCCATCATCAAAAAGATAAGAGGTTAAAAAAAAAAAGGTAAGTGTTCTGGAGGATGCTATGAAAAGGGAACCCTTGTGCACTGTTGATGTGAATGTAAATTGATGGAGCCACAATAGAAAACAATACAGAGGTTCCTAAAAAATAAAAAATGGAATTCTAGTATAATCCAGCAATCCTACTTCTGGGTATTTATGCAAAAGAACTGAAATCAGGATCTCAAGGTGATATCTGCACTCCCATGCTCATTTCGGCATTATTCACAACAGCTAAGAGGTGGAAACAATGTCAATGT